CGCAAATACGCTATTAACCTCATAATTGTTGCTAAACCATGCACAACAACTTCCACAGGCGACAAACTCCTTAGCATCCCACTCAAACTGAACCACAAACAAGACCTACAATAACAAACACCCCTTTCAACAGAAACCTTACAAGCTGGTGTTGGAAATGAGCATAAGATAAACGGTACCCAAGAGAAAGACAATCCAGAGCTTAGTAGCATAGCTATGGGGGTTGGGTACAACCAGCAACCAAAAAGCTAGATTCAAAGAGCATGGAAGCAGCAAAAGAGTAGAAAAACTAAAGAGAACGAAAACTAGAGAAGAGTTAGGAACAAGGTAAGAGGAAAAAACCAGAGACTAAAAGACATGGGATTAAACTCAAATAACTCTCCAAAAAATAATATCATACCACCATACACAGGGTTCATCAAGGTCAGCAAGCTAACCGTCCCCCATAATAGATGTTAGCCTTGGCAAGGTACAATGGTACCAACCTACCAAACACATGGTTCATCAAGGTCAAGAAACTGATCGTCCCCCATAATGGGCATTAGCCTTGGCAAGATACAATGGATTTCGAAAAAAGAAGTCAAGCAACAGGATGGCTAACCCCCCCAAGGAGGGTAACCCTATCTTAAGCGTTTAACTTAAGCATGGAGAGTTACGAGTCGGGGAAGAGAGAGAAGGTCGAGAGCATAAAAAAAGGTCATAGACGAAGGTGGAGGGTGAACAAAGATGGACAAAGATGAAGACAGTGGGGCGGTAGGAGTGTATAGGAGGGACGAATGAAGCACAAAAACAAGGGGGGCAGGGAAAGGGAAGAGGGGGGAGAGAATTCCCCCTCCTCCCTAACCAAAGGCCACTCTCTCTCAATCTCTAGGGCCTCGTCTCTCTCTCACTCACTCTCTCTCTCTCTCTCTCACTCTCTCTCTCTCTTTCTCTCTCTCTCTCTCTCTCTCTCTAGAGAATCAGAAGGTGGTGGTCAAAAGAAAGAAGGGACAAGAAAATATGGCCTAAGATTAACGGAACTGAGCTCAAAGAAAACAAAAAGGCAGGGGGCACAAAGAAAAACGAGCTAGCGACAGAAGGAGAGGAAAAAAAAAAAGAAGGAAAAAAGTATAGAAAAACCCAAAAAAGTGGATAAAAAAAGTTCGAAAAGCAAAAGAAGAGCGAAAGAAAAGGAACCTAAAAAAAGAAGAAGTAAAAAACTCAAATAAGAAAGATGAACTAAGATTTGAGAAGCACTCAGATCTGAAGCAAAAACGTAATATCTGAGGCAAAGAGCTCACATATTTGCAACCACGAGCTCAAATCTGAGGCAAGAGGAAAAAAAAGACGCAAAAAAGTATAGATTATTGTCATCTCAGGATCTTTGTTCAAATGCCCATCACATGCTTCTTCGCCATCTGCATGCCTAAGTAATGTCATACAAAAACCATCCCTCAAATGTCTAAAGTGCACTACTAACTCTAAATCTGCAAAAGGTTCCAACCACATGGAAGAAGTTAGAGAGCAACAAAGTCCAAACCTTGAGAGGAGATCGCTTACTCTAATAAAGATTACTAAGGAAGACATCAATTGCGCCGTCAAATTCTAGATCCACAAAATGTTCCCTGTCCACTAATAAGTTCATAAACATCTGGTTGTACCATGCACTAATCATCTTGTGAAGGAATCCAAGTATTCCAAGTCCCCTTCCTAGAGTAAGCTTTTCCTTATATCTTAACTTCTAACTAATAGCTTCCTGCCAAACTACATTGTGGAACTTTTTCTTCAGATTCACAGTCCCCATTCCTCTCATCTCCCCTTATGACAAAGCAATAGCCTTTACGAATGTTCACCTTTCAAACCTCGAAAGCGCCAAATACCTCCAACTTGATTAACCTTCCGCTTCGACAATGAAGTTTTTATCTAATCTGAAACTTGCCCAAACCTTCAGAATTATGTATTCAACTCAAATCTAAAGAGCAGTGGACATGTTCAAAGCACAGTTTCTAACCAAGTCATCATGTGTTCAGAAATGAGTTTTTTCTTTGACAATAGCTACAGATAATGTTACTTATTAACCAAACAAAACACTCTCCATAGTGCTCCATCCATCTACTAGAATTTCGAGATTAAAAGGGTTCCAATCCGGCCAGCTCCTTTGGTTATCCAACCAAGTAAATTAAATTCCACAATGCACCAGGTAGATCAGTCATTTTAAGTCATGAACACTGACAACTGTTCCATTGTCCACATACTATATGTAATTCCCCCCCGCCTACCTTCTAAAATGAGAAATAGATTTTAAAATCATTGCTCGAGCAAAATAGACCTCTCGCTAGGTCCACATTTTACACAATGCCTTTTGTTGATTTGGTGAGGGGCTGAGATCCTTAGGATGATGGACTTCACTAACCACCTAAACCCAACATACAGGGAATGAAATACTACTTTTTTTGGTAGTTTAGTGGGAATGGGGTCCCTATGCGTGATAAGAATAGAACTCAAGATGTCATTTTGTGCGCCCTGCCACCCTAACCACCTAGCCTTGAGTTCATTTCTCTAGCCGATAAGAATGAAATCGGACAAATCTGTTAAACAATTGCCCTCGTCCAGCTTCATAGGATTGCATATGAACAATATTTCCTTACACCATTTACCGATAAAAAAGAGGCCTGATAAGAATCCCTTGGCAATGAACTTAGAAGCCGTATCAATAGTTTTAAACTTAGTTGTTTGAAGAGAAAAGAATTTCATAGAGTTCTTTATCAATATCCTCCAGTTGGGTTCTGCAGCCTGTGAAAATATTTTTAAACTACTTTACCACCTCTCACTCCACAATAAAACTCTTCTCGGCTCCCTTAACAACACCCACTAGGAAAAGTTTCCTCCTCTATACAACAAAAAATAACAATTATTTCCCTTGCATTCCCCTTCATTTCTACTTGAACTTCATTCCGGATTATCCTAGCCCCATTCTCCATCAAAGCTAGTCTTGAAGCTACTAGATCGCCATGGCAAAATACTGCTTCTCACGCCAAAATTACATCTTGAGCTCTCACTCCATGAGATGCTCAAACTTCCATCCATATCCCTCAATTTCCAAGCTATTAAAAATTCACCCTATTCCATTCCCAAAATTATCTCACTTACACAATCATTCTGCCAGAAATATTCATTGATCCCTCTCTCAAGGAACTTCACCTTATACCATTTATCCATGTATAAACCAAATTCTTCCGCATCACACAACCACTAAACTACGTAAGTCAAATCACTGGTAATTGAGAGTTATGCCCCTTGAACACTGAAATAGTATTCACTCCTTTGCAATTAATTCCCACCATACCTTAAGTGATGCTTTGGTAAATACTTACATACCCCTATAATTTTCTGAGATTTCCTAACGGACACGAATGATATAGCCTTTCTGAAAGCTCCGTAGTGTCCAAAGCTGTTTCAATATATGGAACTGTTTCCAATATATTCCAACTAACAATATGTCCAAAAAAAAAACATCCCATTAATCCCACTGGCCAACCCTCGTGAATACTATGCAAAGTAGCCCAATCCACTTGCAATTCTACTTATCAAATAATTCCAATCAGAATGTCATACACTAAAAAATTCTAAACACACTTTTGTTATTGATCACCATTTCCCCTATTGAATTTGTCTCTTTACTTTACCACACTTCTTTAGCCATCTCAATTCTAAAAAGGTGGCCAAAGGACCAGGTTCTCTTTATCCATGTGGAGTTCGTTGTCAATTAACATATGTTCCTTACATACGAAGGCCGCAAAAATTATAGATATTACACTCTCTAAATCTCTTGACTTCTAAGCTTCTTCAACCATTTTTGAGTCTCAAGTCAATGCATTGCAACCAACAGCTCTCCATTATAATGGTGGTTTCTAATTCCGAAACAGGTAGGTAGAATTAGAGGCAGCACCCTCCCACTGTATTTTAGGGCATCCAAAATGAGAAAATTTTATAGGCTTTCATTGGCATTTCTTTCTTCAACAAAGATCATCTAGAAGAGAATTTGAGACTTTGACATCTGAGGATCTATCTCTCAGAGTTTCAAGGGACTAGAGTACTAGACCTTGCTCTTGAGTAAGGAACAATGACAAAAAGAAAGCTTCCGAGTTCCTAGATATTTTTATATAAATCTTACCCATTGGAAGTACGTGAATTTTAACTTTGATGGTTTCTCCCCTGAGAGGAGGAAAATAAGTCTTGTACAAACTAGCTGGAATCAAAGATTTGTCAGTTCCAGAAGCCTACATTGTTCTTACATTTCCTAAAATGGTTGTCCATAGGTTGTTCATTTCCTTTTTCCTTTTTTTAAATACAAGGTGAAAACTCTAATCATTGTTAGGGGTGGAAGGTGATTCCCTCAAATCTCAATATGGAGCGTCCTGAACCTACTTGCCTACAGGAAGGAACATATCGTGGAAAACTTAAGAACTTGTGTAGTTGTACAGATACTATCTTCCTTAGAGAAAACAAAAAGGTAAGGGCACATTTGCTTGGTGCATAAATATTTCCATAGGAAAAATATTTACATATGTAAACACTTTGCATGAAAAACTTTTTGCAAACTTTCGTTTCACCATGCTTGTTAACATGTTTAAAAAGCACAATGTAATGAATTACATATGTTTGGTAACTTGTTTGGTATTTAAATATATTTTGTAAATATATTAAT